TTTTCCACCCTGGCTACACAGCCCGTGAACAATCGCCTCCCCGGCCCCTGAAAGGAGAGCGAGCGCCCCATTTCTGCTGAATGCACGTCTCAGTTCATCCGAGGCTGGCGGGCTTTTGATGGCCACAATGCGAGTTACGCCCAAAGAGTGTCTCTTTGGTCAGATCGACAACGCTTGGCTTCACGTTTGCAAGTTAAACGGGCAGAAACCCGGCTGAAACTCCCACGCCAGACGCCGGGGACGTTTCCCTCCGCCCTGCTCAGAGCAGAACTGAGGAACGGGTCTGGGCAGGGGTGGCGGGGGAGGGGGAGGAGAAGGGAGGGAGGGAGAGTTGTCAGGAGGCGGCGCGGGAAAGGAGTCCCGATTCCAAGCCGCCATCTAGAAGAAGGGGGGGGGGACCGTTTTCTCTAGTATATCCCTCTTGTTTTTATTTTTAATTTTTTTTCATTTTGCTTTGTTGGCAGCTTTACCCAAACAAAAATGAATAAATAAATAAATAAAACGAGAGCGTTTTCTCCTTGTCTTCACCTAGGTAGCTGCTTTTCTCCAGCCCCTGAAAATGTGACTCCTTCATAAAATCAAAATTTATGATTATTCAAATGTTGGGGACTGTGAAAAGAGAGGAAGAAAGAGAGAAAATTAATATTGCAGCTGTTCTTCTGATTAATGAGAGATAATTGCTCATGAAAAGTCACCCCTGTGGCATTTTGTTGTCTCCTGGATCTTTGTTCTTTTCCACTATTATTGAGGACTTTCTTGAAGACTAAGCGGTTCTTTTCAATTTTTGGGTATTCAGAAAGGGTTGCCTGGTTACAGAGAATGGGGAAATCTCGGGCTATATCGGGTAAGATGTGCCACAGACAGCAATATCACAATGCCACTCGGAGAAAAGGATGGATACAAGTTAACGATGCGCTTTCAATAAAACATTCATAGACTTGTTCACGCTTTGATAATGACCTCATTAAAGGGAGCTGGGGGCAAGTAAGTCCTGTCTCCTGTTTGTGTTCGGCTAACAAAACCCAGCTTTGAGATCATTCATCGCTTTGGAAACTAATATGAAATCAATGTAAGAGGAGCAAATAAATCCGAGGCCGCCCCGCCAACTCCTGGGCTGTCCCGCCCTGCTTGCCGTCTCCGTTTGGGGCAGGAGAACCATGTGGGCAAACGCTAAAAAAACGAGAGAAAAAGGACTAAGGATTTGGGGTGGGGGGAGCTGTTCTATGCGCTGGGGTGTGGGCAGAGGAAAGGGCAATGTGGGAGTTACAGCTCATAAAACAGCTAAGCACATCAATAGGTCAGAACTCTAGGGACTGCGGAATAAGCAACACTAAGTCCACATCCTTTGCTTTCCATGACTTTGCCCATGAAAGGAAATAGAGTGAGAAGCAAGCGGGGAATGTGGAGTCCAGGTCAGGTGTGATCCCGGGTGGGGGAAGTATTGGAAGACCTCTTGAAAGCTACAACCAAGATTCAAATCTCAAGACTGAGTAGGAGGAAACTGCTCATCCAGGCTCAAGTGGAAGAGTCCAGGGGCAAGAAAGTGGCACCTCTGAAATGCTTTTTTTTTCTCTTTGGAGGGTAAGAGTGGGGTACCCCATGGGCATGTGTTCAGAGAGGTGGGGGTGGACAATTTTGTTACCTTCATATTTGTGACATTGTCTTGCACTCAAGGAAGACAAAGCCATCTTCTGTCATCCCAGCAAGAAGGAGGAAATCAAAGGATCCCCCTGCCCCTTAAAAGAACTAATTTTCTCCTTGAATTATGAAAGTAATGGCTTAGGTAACAGCCTGTACTCTGTACCCGACTGCTTAATACCGAATAAATCCTTCCACGTGGCTCCCCGAGTCGTGGCAATTAGAGCTCATTATAGGCTCATAAGAGCTCTCATTTCAGGGATTACTTAATGGACGATGAAATTTTATCGGACAGAATCACTGAGAAATAAAATTGTGTGGCAGCGGGGGCACTGTGAGGGCACACTGGCAGGCTGCTCAGGGGTCCCCTTTGGCTTTGAGCAGGTTCAAGGAGCTGCTGTCCTAGGGAAGGGTCTGGCTGGGCAGGCCAGCCACATAGCTGCTCAGGGGCATGGAGGGTAGGCTTCCTTTGGGAACAGGGGTGGCAAGGCACAGTGGGGCCAACTTCTGAAGATGGGGCTGGAGTCAAGAAAAGAAAGAAAGACAGCTATCCAAAGAGAATTAAGGAGGAGACTCTGAGGAGAGCCTCCAATATAGAACGTGACCCCCAGATTTTTGCTCTCGGTGGGCTCAAGCAATTTATTCTTTAAATTTTTTAAAGTTTGTATTTTAATTCCACTTGGTTAACATGCAATGTTATGTTAGTTTCAGGTATGTAATATAGTGACTTCACAGTTCCATGTGTCATCCTGTGCTCATCACCATGTCTCAAGCAATGTACCAAGTCCTCTCACACAGGCGAGTTTCTGCTTTCCGCAGAAAAGGGTCTGCTTTCCGCCTCAAGTCTGGCCCCAAGCCACTGCTCCCCCTGCAGCCCTAAGTAACCCCGTGGGCCTCTCACTTTTCTCAAAATTCCTTAGCATTCCAGTCGGACGTTTCCATACTTAGACATAAATTAGTTGCTCACGCTTCATAATTAGGATTCTCTAAAACCAAATGGTCCTTGCATAAGCACAAATTCCAGCAATTAGCATAGGAGCTGTTCCCCGTGAGCATACCTAGAACCACTGGGAACACAGTGACCCAAACTGTAAGCTGAAAACAGACCTCTGATGACATTCAACCCAATCCAGAAGGGGAAAAAGGGAAGGGGAAAGCTATTACTTTCTTTGAGCACTTGCCAAGTGAATAAATACACATAAGCATATATTATATAAATTACACACACATATACACACGCATCTGCAAAGTGAGTGGGGAAATCATGTCACCTGTTTGCACAATTTAGGCCTGTTAAAAAACACCCAGCCTTTAAGCATCTCTTAGTGGTCGAGCTTCCATTCTTGGTGGGGCTTGAGTGATTCTGGGACTACCGGCGTTCTCCTGACACGAGTGAGGATGGGTGGGCAGGCAGGCTGGGTTGAGGCTGAGTGTCTGGGATGGCTGCTTCGGCAAACCTTGTGGTACAAAAGTAGTTACAGCTGAGCTGCCCTGAGTTAAGCCCTGAGACTCCTTAATTGTTGTCACAAGATGTTGGATTAGCACATTTCTGGAATAGCTGTCTGTTTACACTCTGGAGACCCACCGTCCACTAACCGCTTTCTAATTGAATTCTAATCACATTCAAATAGCTCAATAACCAGCCTCAGCTGCAATTCATAAAACTTTAATTGCCATCCATAAATCCTGGGCTCCCCAGAGCGGGGCGTCCCTACAACCCAATTACACTTCTCTAGCAGGCAAAAGAAATGGTCCCAGAGATGAAAAAGGGGAAGGGAGAGGCAGACAGAGGACAGAGAGAGAGCCTATGCCTCTCGCTGAGAAGTTGATGCTCCCCTAGGATTTGGGCACTGGGTTCTCAGAGGTGGAAGGAGTCCTGTCCCCAAGTTTCTTCACACCATTGTGAACGCAGGCCTGAAGTCGGCTGTTTTGGAAAAAGGATCAGATTTGTATGGAGCATTTGCTCACCCTCCCTGCTCCAACCAGACTTTCCTACAGGGACAAAAAAGGGGAAAGCTGTCACCTCTGCCCTCTCACCTTCTCCAAAAATCAATAGCCTCTATCTTGGCAGCCACCAAGGTGCAAGTCTTCTGCTGAAGCCTGTGCCCCTCGGATTTCCTTTACCAAACCACCTCTCCTATCCTGAGGCAGGATTCCTTGAGTGGCTCAAATTCCTTCAGTCCCTTTCAGCTTTTAAAGGGGTGCGGGGTGGGGGTGGGGGGAGTGCTTCCCGGTTAGCCTGCCAGTTGCTCAAGGTCTGTAAAACAGAAAGGCGCAGAAAATCACAGGACCCAGAGCAAAGCCTTCCCCAAGCCTGCTCGGTCGCAGGAGGGCTGGGGTTTGGGTCCTCTCTCCAAAATCATTGGGATGGAGTTTGCAGGGTTGTCCTAGAAATGCACTGGCTTGGAGAAAGGAGAGTGACTCTTGGACGGGTCTCTCCGCCGCAGGGTACATAGACGATTACAAAGGAGCACAAGGAAGTGTCCTTGATCTAAGCAGCTCCAGGAAAGCCCCAAGTGCAAAGGCATTTTAGAGCGTCTCAAGCATTAGAATGAAAAGCTCTCTGAAGCTTCTTAGGTAGGAGGCTTCACCCTTGCGCCCCGGATCGGATCGGTCACGAACTAACCATCTGAATTACTCTGGCACTGTGTGTGTGTGTGTGTGTGTCCGTGGTCCAAGCCGCGGTGCGGGACTGGGCTGGAGCCAGTCCACCGCCCACACAATCGTGCTGGGAACAGCAGGCCTCACACTCTCCCGCGCCTCAGCCGCGGCTGGTACAGAGGAGCAGGGAGCACTGGGCATCCCTATTAAAAAGGCCTCAAGGTCCCCACCTGGTGCCCTTTTCGGCCGGGAGTGGGAAGAGTTGGGATGGGGCCCAGGCCGGGGAAAGGGGTAGGATGGAGGATGCAGCTCTGATTTCTCGAGAAAGCGTGGAGAAAGAGGGGGAGGAGGCCGGCCTCCCCGCGAAATTAACAAAACCTACACTTTGCAAAGTCTCCCCCATCCCCCTCCTTCGAGTTCTTCCCTGCCGCGCGCCCGCCCCTCCTCGCCGCTTCTGTTGTGACTCGGGCAGCCTATCCCGAGGGTGGGGAGCTGCTGAGGAGCCTGAGCCGAGCGGTACTCCGCAGCATCACGTGCCGGGTGGGGGCTATAAAATCCCGGAGCCGGGGCGCCGGGCGGGGGACGTGAGGACCAGCCCTCTCCAGGGACCCCTTTGTTCGCAGCCCAGACGCCGAACACCTCCGCGTCCCCGAGGGCTTGACCGCCTGCGTCCGCGCCGCGCCCGGGGCAGAGCTCAGAACAGGAGAGGAGGGGAGGGGGCGCCACCGCCGGCCCGGCCCTCCAGCCAACCCCCTCCCGACATGTCGCGCTCCTTCTATGTCGACTCGCTCATCATCAAGGACTCCTCGCGGCCCGCGCCCTCGCTACCAGAGCCGCACCCGGGGCCAGATTTCTTCATCCCGCTGGGCATGCCGTCCCCGCTGGTGATGTCTGTGTCTGGGCCCGGCTGCCCGTCCCGCAAGAGTGGCGCGTTCTGCGTCTGCCCACTCTGCGTCACTTCGCACCTGCACTCCTCTCGCGGGCCCGCGGGCTCCGGCGGCGGGGGCGCAGGCGCCGGGAGCACAGGGGCCGGTGGTGGGGGGGCGCCGGGGGGCGTAGGGGCCCTGCCCTTGCTCAAGGGTCAGTTCTCTTCGGGTCCCGGGGACGCGCAGTTTTGTCCACGCGTGAGCCACGCGCACCATCATCACCACCCGCCGCAGCACCACCATCACCACCATCAGCCCCAGCAGCCGGGCTCCGCCGCCGCCGCAGCGGCCGCGGCCGCTGCGGCGGCGGCCGCGGCAGCCTTGGGGCACCCTCAGCACCACGCACCTGTCTGCGCCGCCACCACCTACAACGTGGGGGACCCGCGGAGATTCCACTGCCTCACCATGGGTAGGGCGGGGGCTCTGGGCACCTACGCGCCGCGCCTTCCCGGCTCCCAGGAGCAAACTTTCCGCCGCCAGTGGAGGAAGTGGCAGCCTGGGGCTGGGGGGTGAGTGGGAGGAGGGGCTTTTCGTGTAACTGTGGAGTCGTCCCCAGAAGTTCCACCAAGGTGGAAGTTAGCTTTCCAACCTCTCCAAGCAGCCTGGTGCGTGCACTCCGGGGACCTGGTGTATCAGTCTTGCGTAATATCGGGGCCTTTGGGACCTCAAACTTGAGGGCTGAGAAACCGAAGGCCAAACTGGCTGAGGTTCGGGGTGGGTATGTTTGAACTTAAGTGTGGCATTCCGTCGTCGGGGCTAGCTAAAGCATGTCCATGCTTTTGGCCAACCCAGCCTGCCTCTCTGCTAGGCTTGAAGGGAGACGACCGGACAATGCCCCCCACCCCTCTTTAAGCCTCTGACTTTACATCTCACACATCAAAGGCCTTCACTTGCTGTGGGGGTCTCTGTCCTTCCCCGCTGAGTAACGAAGTGCCATGAAATAGGAAAGGGAGAGGGATGGGGACAGGTGCTTGAGCTTCGCGGGTGGGTCCTGGAGAAGCGTCCTGTCCAAGGGGTGGCACGTGGGGTGGGATCGCCTCACCCGAGAATTACGTCTCTGCCTCTCTTGGCCGGTCTGCAGGGGGCTCGGACGCCAGCCAGGTACCCAATGGCAAGAGAATGAGGACGGCGTTCACCAGCACGCAGCTCCTGGAGCTGGAGCGCGAATTCTCTTCCAACATGTACCTGTCTCGACTCAGGAGGATCGAAATCGCGACATACCTGAACCTGTCAGAGAAGCAGGTGAAAATCTGGTTTCAGAACCGTCGGGTGAAGCATAAGAAAGAAGGGAAGGGCACCCAGAGGAACAGTCACGCGGGCTGCAAGTGCGTAGGCAGCCAGGCGCACTACGCGCGCTCCGAGGATGAGGACTCCTTGTCGCCGGCCTCGGCCAACGATGACAAGGAGATTTCTCCCTTATGAGGAAGGCCCGCCTCCCTCTCACCACACGCTCCTGGCCACCCCCACAACATCAAGGTGACCGGTACCCAGGGGCCCAAATCCTCACCCATGCTGTGGTCCCATCTGCAGAAGGACGGAGCTGAGCATTCTCCCGGCGCACATGCCCGGCCTGACCCTTCAGGTCTCATCCTTGACCTGTTTGTTTGAAGTTCCACTCAAAGTTATAGGTCTTTGTTTTTTTAATGTAAATAATCTAGATTCAACTCTGCTTTGTCATGTAACAGGGAAAAAAACCCACGGTTGGTTTATGTTTAACACTGTATGTGGGTTTTTGAAAGCGCATGTCCTTTCCCCTTCCCCACTGTCTTTCAGAACCTAAGAAGAGAACGGGGGTTTCTTGATTATTTTCTGTTGTTGTTTTTTAAATGAAAGTATTCAATTGCAAATAATTTAGAGAATTAAACCCTGTAGGTCTCGCCTCCTGAAAATTTGCCTGGGGAGAGATTGGAATTCAAATTGCCGAAGTCCCTTTGTATGTGAATAGTTTTATATAAAATTTATATTTATATTTATTTAAATAAATGAAACAAAATCAAGGTTTTCAATTTGTGGTGTTTGCTCTCACCATCTTTCCCCATCTCCCCCTTGCCCATACCTAGAGAAAGGCATGGATGGGGGGAGGGAAGGTGTCTGAGAATATACAGGGAAGTGTTGACTAAAAACTAGTAATGTGGGGGTTGGGTTGAAGGAGTTCATGGCACCCCCTCAGTCAAGATGTTGCCTACCGAGTACTAACTCCCCATCCTCAAAAGAGCTAAGCTGCTCACAGTTGAAAGGACAAGTCATTCCATTTAAAGTAACACTGACAATTAATGACAGACAAACTTGTTGATTTATTTAGCAGGGAAATGTCAATATTCCTTACCTAGTATTTATTTTCTGTGGCAGTTCCCCTTTCCTCCCCTTTCCCCTACAGCTCTTTTAGTACTAAAACCGGAATTATGTGATGGAATTCGAACAGTTTTAGGAAGAGCAACAATCCATCAAACAGGTTGGAAGCAATGCACAAGGAAACTTACAAATGATGCTGCAAGTGACTGGAAACATTAGTTCCCGGTTGTTCCTCTAGTGAAGAAATCAGCTGATTCCAAGTGCTGAGAAAACATGAGGGCAGGGACAGGGAATTATTCTGCCCAAAGATTTATATTCTCAGTTTTCCAAAATAGCTCGGAGGTGCCTTCGGACTCTTGCAGTTTTCCTTGGTCTCTCTAACTTTAACCTAAATCTGTTCCCTCCTGATCCTTTTCTTCCCATCATCTTGCAGAGTTAATTCCTGCAAACCTGTTCCTGGAGATTTCTCTGCCTTCAGCGGGGCAACCTGGCTCTTTGCTCTGTGCAGCCAGGGCCTATCACCTAAGGAAGACAAGTGAAGCTGGAAATGTGGAAACTGGGTCTCATTCCCAGCAAGCTGAGCCCTCTAACCCCCACTGGTATTATTTCTGATTATTTTCTGTAAAGATGCCACCCAAGAGATTCAAGCCAATAGGAACTGTTTACAACACACAGGTTTCTTTAGATCTGATTTACTTTCGGTAGGTAGGAACTGAAATCTTACCAGGTGAGATGGAGCTCTACAACTGAGGTCAGGAAGCTAGTTTGGGCAAAGGAGAAAGTTGGGGTGGGGGGGAGGATGTGATTACGGTTTTTCCCTGCCCAAAGTTAATTAGTTCTTTTCTCTTTCTCTTTTCTTTTCTTTTTTCTTTTCCTTTCCTTTTCTTTCCTCTCTCTGTCTCTGTTTCTCTCTCTCTCTCTCTCACACACACACACACACACACACACACACACACACACACGGGAGGCTCAGAGAAGGACTTTGGTCTTCAGCTCCTATTCGGGTACCGGCCAGGGCAGGCGGGAGGGACTGAATAGGGAGCTGTCGCCGTTTTGTGCACCGATCTGGGCCTGGTCCTACGCAGCGGTCAAAGGCATCCAGCTCGATCCTACCCCGGCCTGGGAGGCTGAGCCTCCCGGACTCTCTCACGCGCGGAGCCTTGGGCCCGTCGCCCTACCCGCCGCGAAGGGGAGGAGGTAACCCGCCCGCTGCCTTTCCTGAAGATCCCATCTCCCCCCTTCCCAATAAACAAGACTCTCCGCCCACAAATATTAGGGTGGGAGGAAAGGAGTGTTGAGGCGCAAAGAACGAGAGCGTTTACAGAGAATTCATTTTCGGGAAATAACGGGAAGGACAAAGAGCCCCGGCTGCAGCTCACCGCGCTCCTGCTCAAAGCGAAGCCTCAGCTGGGCGGTGGGCCGACACCTCTGTTCCCTGGTCCTCCTCCCAACCACAGCCAGCTTGCGGGGGGTCCCCCCCACCCCTACGTCGCCCAGCACTGGGCCCTGGCCCTCCCCGAGTCCCAGCCCAATCGGAACCCGAGCTTCTGTGTCTCTGTGCCTCGCCTGGCTCGCTCACCCCAGGCCCTGCGCCCAGAGCGCGGAACCACCCACCTGCCACACCCGACCCAGCGCGGCGCCCCCCCCCCCCCCCCCCCCCCCCCCCCCCCCCCCCCGGGAGGACACGCGGCGCCAGCCCTTCTTGCCAGGTTTTGGGCTGCTTGGATGGTCTCAGTCCCCCTCCTTTCTGTCTCGGGGGTGGGGGGGAGAAGTTCCTTAGGAGAGAGACAATTAACAATTCGTCTCCCACCAGAGGCAAAAAGTTTCAGACAGAGATGCATACCTAGACGTTGGATATTCTCCTTAGAAAAACTTCTTAGGGGGTTTCAGGGAGGTTCTAGGGTATTCGGTGCCTAGTGGACCTTCGTCTCACTTTCACGGTGAACCATGAGGTCTCCCATCTACTAGGGTAGGTTTTACACCCTTCCGTCCACCCAAGGTAATCATTTGCTGTTTTTGAGGTTTGCAAATCCTAAGGAGTCCTTGGAAATCTCTGATTTTAAAGGTCTACAGTCTGACCTCACGTTAAGAGTTCCTAGGGCAACATTTAGGACATAATCTGCTAAGCAATCTTGATATCAATCAAACACTTTAAGTGAAATACCCACAGATTTATTTAAAGAGATGTGTGGGGTCATCCTTGACAATTTCTCTACTAGGAAAACACCAGATGCTAGCTTTTCAGTAGTTTTCCCCAAAACATGGCCTCTTAGGGGCCTATAAACACATTATGGAAAGAGAGAGAGAGAGAGAATGAAAATGAGAATTAGAAATAGGATCTTGGTACACTAAGAGAAAAGAAGTCAGTGGCAGGAGCCATTAGTGTGCTCGAATCCAACTTTTTGCAAGCAATTCTCATGATGGCTTCAAACGGGAAGAGGTTCCGGGTGGGAAGGATGACCTTCTGCCCTTGTGCCCTAAGCCCCGTACTGACATTCTGAGAGAAAAGGAGGAACAGAGACCTTTCCCCTTCACCCTCCCACTCAGTGACCAGCACAAGCCCAAGGCCAAGGACTTAGCATTGATAGTAGCACTTGGCAAGTCTTCTTTTCCTTTTTTCTTTTCTTTTTTTTTAAAAGATTTATTTACTTATTTGACAGAGAGAGATCACAAGTAGGCAGAGAGGTAGGCAGAGAGAGGGGGAAGCGGGCTCCCTGCTGAGCAGAGAGCCCGACGCGGGGCTCCATCCCAGGACCCTGAGCCGAAGGCAGAAGCTTAACACACTTACCCAGGCACCCCTTGGCAAGGCTTCTTGATTGCAAACCATGTTCAGGGCAGAAGGGACCCAGCATTCTCTCCCTGGGGTATCCATAGACCCAGATGATAGAAATGCAGGTAATGATAGACTTCCTTTATTCAGAAGTATTCTAAGTTGGTCATCTTAGCTTGGTTCTCCTCCCCCTTACACCACATCTCCCCTACTCCCCCTAAGGATATCTGAAGGTATTTTAAGGGAAAGAAAAAGCTGGGGATGTGAAGTCTTTGATTTTTGGCTCCCTCTTCTCTTTTCTTACCTCCACTGTGTACCAGTTCTGATCAGTATTAGAAATGCAGCTCGCTGGGTTTGCTCTGACTGGTCAGAGAATTGCCAGTAAGATGATTGTTCTAAGTGAAAGTGGTCACAGAAAGCAAGAGGGTCTGTGTGTGTATGTGTGTGAGAGAGAGAAAGAGAGAAAGAGAGAGAATTCCACTGGGAGGTGGTCGTATACATAGAAAGGAAAGAGCTATTTGCACCAGATTTTATTTTATTTTGTTTCGTTTTGCCTCCCATCTCTACCTTTCCTGCAGGTTCTACTCACTTTTCATGGCACTCCTTGGGAGATTTCTTTGAAGGAGGTGGGAAGGTATTTAGAGCCGTTTTTGGGGAGGAGAAAAAGGAGAGGGACCCGGGAGAGAGATCTCCACCTCGGCCTTAAGGGTATGGGAGAGAGGAGAATGACACTCCCAATAGAACCTATTTGCTAGAGGAAATTGGGTTTAAAGGAGCAATCACTGCTTTAAAAGGAACTCCTCCCACTCTCTCCAAACACAGCCTAAAGCTGTCCTAGACGATGAATACAGCGCAGTGCATCAAAGCAATTGTTCCTATTTTCATTATTCACAGGGAATCTTTGAATGTACCTGTTAAGGTGACAGACCTCTTAAAAGGGAACATTTTTCCATGCAATTAAATGGTGCATTTACTAGGCTTCTATTAACATAATTTAATATAAATCTATTTTATAAATCTTTAGGCTCACATTACTGAAAATTGAGCTTCTCCAAAAAAAAAAAAAAAAAAAAAAAGCCCACATCTCTCCTCTAAATTAGATGTAATAGAATCCAAAAACTTGCTATTCTAAGCCAGCTGGAAATATCAAAAGTAGAAGAATCTTTTGTATTGTCTTTTGTTAATGGTGAAAGTGTGAAGAAAAAAGGCAGTTTGTTTCACAGGATAATTCTACAGGGATGCAGCTTTCCTTCACCCAAGGCCCTGGCCCTTGGAGTCACGCAGGCTGGAGCTAAGAAGGGGGGCCAGCAAGAACAGGAAGGCAGAAGTCTCAGCCAACAGAGTTCAAGCAGAACTCAGA